CGAAACAAATTGTTAGATTACATCACATACTTACCTAGTATATATATACGGTGCCGTCTGTTTCCCAGAGGGGCAGGCATGAACAAATCGATCTCCACTCGCTATGATCCAGATATACCTTTTCGTTTTCTCTACATTCATCAATCAACATTTATTGTAACGGTTCACGTGGGCCTTTTTCGAATTGCCACCAATTCGGCTGTTGGTTGTTTTCTGCGCGCTTCTTTTTATCGACACTTTCAAACATGTTTTCACAAATAAAGCAATTTATTTACCTTTAAACAATAGAGATAAAAAAATCAACAATAAAATTGCTACCATCTAAATCGGTTAGTTAAATAGAACGAGTGCAAAAATGCAAATTTCACTAGAATTCGGGCTCCGCAATGAACGTAGAAAAATTACACCACTCAAAGTGCTATTAAGAAGCCAATTAGTGGCAGTCTCAAGGAAACAAACCTTGGCACGCTCAATTTGTTTTGCAGCAACTAATCCGTTGCAAGTTTTCTGACTTAATTAAAAACGGCAACTCGATAGATCTGTCGCTGTGTAAAGTTCGGGAAAACCTTAATTGCCACTGTAAGGAGAGGCAATAAAAACAAAACGGGGCCAAAGGATAATGGAACGTCTATATCTTAGAGATAAGAGGAAAGAACGCCTGAAATGGGAGTACAAAAGGCAAAAACTGCTAATGAAGAAAGGACAGAGTAATTTGAATTTGTTACTTAGCCATCTGTTAAATGCACTTCATTAAAAACGTGCTTACTCACCGAGAGCTGGGCGCCGAATGCCACGGAACGCATTCGAAATTCAAATTGCACAGTTCTTTTTGAAATTCGAATAGCTGGTGCGGTTTTTGTGGGCAAAGACAAAGGCATTCTCGCATTGTCGTTTTTATTGTCGTTGGATTCTTTATGTGCTCTGTACGCTGAGATTTCATTTTTTGATTTTAAATGCACATCTTTATGGTGTGGAAAAAGTTATTGCTTTCTTTGTGATGCAAATGGTCGTTTAGTGATTTCACTGAAAAACGGATTGTGCATAGGCATTCAGAATGAATAGCTTTGTTTTTAAGTTGACCTTAAACTAGAATCAGCTGACAGACTACAGTAGTCCCTTAACATCAGGCGGATGACACGATACCCACATAACATAAAACAATGAAGCAAATTCTGTAGCTGAGTTTATTTTATTCGAGTACAAAATCATAATGCTGTATGCAATACGAATTTCCTTAGCATTCTATCCAAAACTTTTCTAAGAATTCCTTATAATGGTACAGGCCCATAAAGATATTATTAAATCGAACTGGAAGAACTAGCTCCCTCGATGCCTCCCAATATTGCGATGGAACATTACATTTTATTAAGGTCAGACTGTTAGCTCCTCGGAATTCTTGTTATTTTTTCTTGAAAGGTGTAAAGTGAACAGACTGTCTCAGATGTAAAACGTGGGTTTACCCCGTAGCGCAGAAGTTTTAATATTATTATTCATGTCAGCGGATGCCATCAAATTCATTTCGGAGAAAATCATTAGGCACTCACTCTTTTTGTAAGCCAGAATCATCTTTAGGCATATATTGGTAGTTTCTTAGAATAGATGTGAGGACCTGTAATTGGCTCTTTGTCGCTACTATTCATTTCTAGTATATTAAGATAAGCTGTTGGTCTTCCATGTAACTAAAATAAATAAATAGTTTCCCTCCCGTTACGTTATTAATTTCGTTCCAATTGATTTTCTACGACACGATAGCAGCGCAGTCCCATATGAGACGTAACAATACACTAGTTTTAACATTAAAAGTGTTATTTCATTCGCTTCAGTAGGCCCCCATTTTCTCTGAAAGTGCGAGTCGCCCGTGACACCCCGAGGTTTAGGGCCACGAGAACGTATGAGGGCTCAAAGACGCAGAAATTTAAGGGCTATAAGAAGACGTAAACATTATATTGGAAAAGTCAAAAACTTATTTGGAAATCATATAAAAAAAAAACACTTTCTCGACCGAAAAATCGTGTGTTTTCACAGAAAATTTCAAATACATGAAAAAAGCACGTCGTTATTGAACCAAGGAACATTGTATGTAATTACATTACTTTTTTCGATATTGTTGACGGTTCAGGCTGTAGATGTGCCCTTAGCCGCGAGTTTTACGCGGCGCGAGGACGTTTGAGAGCTCGACGCGGAATTCGTAGGGCTTTAAGATGGTGAAGAATATTACGGTAAGGTAAGTTTTGAAAAAAAAAAATTTGGTTTAGAATAAAATGAATTAAAATTTTGCTTTTTTTTCAAAAAATTATAATAGGTACATTCAGTAGCCCTTTGAAGTCGTGAAGAGCACGAAATCTGTAATTTTTTTCCATACAAAATATGATGATGACAATGCCGATTACGTAGCTGTCAAAATTCGTGTTTTGGCCTCTGATGTTAAATGACGATGGAGTGATGCGAAGATAGTTGATGCAGAAGTTTTAGCTGATGCAGAAGTTTTAGCTGCCACGCTAGCTACTACTCAGAGATAAACTGCCTCTAGTAAAGGTAAGGCTTGAGAAAGAGATGGAGGCAATAGCAAATGTTCCGCTTTAATTGGTGCTCACGTCTGGGGAAGTAATCTTCATCTTACCAAAGATCACAGTTAAATATATATACCTTTTGGTGGTCGTTGAGATGTAGCTATGAGAGCTACTCCTCACTTAAGAGAGGTAGGGCTTACGGGAATTCCGCTCGAATTCTAGCGTCCGTCTGGAAAAGATCATAGTAATATAATAGTTTATTTTGGTGGTACTGAGAATATTTTATTTCTTTGAAATCATCTAAGCAATAAATAAAAGATAATTATACTTAAGACGTAAAACATATGGCGCGTTTACACTTGGTCCACTCCCGAATCCGAGTGCCAATGGAATACTCGGAACGGAGTCGAGTACGCCAGTATTCGAGTAGATTTCCTTTTGTTTACCCGCCACCGTCTTTCGGCCCCTTATTCCAGTGTTAATATTGCTCCGGGTGTCCGAATTCGAGTAATATCTTTCGTGGACGCCAAAACGGGCTAGCGACCAAATGTAATTGCGGCATTTGGTATATTTGCTTCAAGGTAACCAAGTGTTCTGTTTTATTCTTACTTTTAACTTTGAAAATAATCAACAAACATTATCCAGGTATGCACCTCGTTCTGAGACATTTGGCTCAAGCGTGTTAAAGACTTATAATAACAACGAACAGCTTCGCAGGCCTTCTCACCACCCCTGGTTAATAATAGGGGTGATAAACATTTTACGCGAACACTCGCACCACGGATGAATCGGAATGGTCTTATATAAGCTTTGGCGTGTCGTAAAAATTCCAGACGCGTTCTTAAAATAATTTAAGTTAGGTAGGTGAAAACTTCCTTAAGTAGGTGTCTTGTTGAATTGAGTGATGCCTCTAAGATAAGGAGAGCCTATTTCAGATGCTACATAGGTAGTTTTGGACAGCCTCCTTTCTCTTCTAGAAGATGTCTACTAACCTCTTTTTTGAAGGGGTTTTACTTATAGTTAATTTTATTACTTTTGTGATTATTGTAGTGATTTACTGAGAAGCTCGACGATGCAGGTAGTTAGCGTCTTCGGCATGCGATCGTAGAAGTTAAACAATTTTCGCAGTGGTCAGTCATTGGATGGGTGTCCTAAAACTTATTATCTCAAGCCCAACGGAGCTTCGGAAGGCACGTTAAGCCGGGACCATTGGCTGTGCTGCATCTGCAGTCCATAACACCAATCAATCTGCGCTGGGCCCGTGTCACGGCCCAACCTCTATAGGGAATTCCATTTTTCCATTCCATAGGGAAGGCCTGTGTTCCAGCATTGGAGACATTAGGGATGATGATGTTTTCTGATGGTTTCTACTTTTGGCAAACTAATTTCGTCGTTTACACGTAAAAAGTGAAATTTTATTTAGAGGACCTTAATAGCATAGTGGTTTAACGCTCTGCGATCGTAGGAGCTAAGCAGCTCTCGACATGGACTATCATAGGACGGGTGACAAAAAAAATTAAACTCCAGCTTCTCCCTGCTTTGGGAGCCCACGTATGAATCTTGCTTTGCAGTCGCCTATTACACTTTTCCATCCCTAGGTAAGGCCTGTGCCCCAGCAGTGATGGACATTATTAACCTGAAGATAATGAATCTTCTAATTTTGCTTTTCCAATGAAATACAGGCTGAATGCTGAATAATACGTACGGATGTGGACTACATATCAGACCAAAACGATGTCACATGTCGTTGGTAGGCTATAAGAGTTAAATGTCCATTTTGATGATACCTTTGACAACCTATACGGCTTCAGTGGTATGAAGTATAATCGGCCATTATAGTGCTTTCTTTGGGGCTAGGCTAATAGGGATGATGACTAATTTTTTTTTCTTCGTTTATCAGGTAGATTATCAAAAAGTATTGGACACGTATTTCTTCTTTTTTCACATAATATAAACATTGCAGAGATATATTGATTTGAAAAGTCGCATGACATCACGTTTTGGTACAACTATCACTTAAAAGTGACGTCACGAGCCCCTACTCCCAAACTTTGACGCGCTATAACTTTGTCATTTTTTGGTTGATTGCCCAAAGAAAAAATACGTGTCCATTATTTTTTGATCATCTAATTGACGGACTAAATAGAATTTCGTTTACTGTACCCTGTATTAGCCCTATTGGTGTGAATGTGGGAAATATTTATTAATTTATGATGATAAGATGTTATAATAAAACAAAAACATACATAGGCCAAAGTTTCGTTTTATTTAGAAAAGTATTTTGTACAATTTAACTAGATTTACAAATATCAATTTGCATTCTCGTACCTGCTACAATCAACACTTCTCTCCGCAAAAACAAACCACTTATATCTAACTATAACAACTAAAGTTTACAAATTGAAAAGCTTTACAGTTCCAATTAAACACACTATGATTTTTGGTTTGATTTAGAGTCATCAATTATAAAGAAAATATAACTAGAAAAAATTCCACGCGGACCAGGCAGCAGACGGGACTCGAACCCGCACCCTTCGCAATCCGGGCGAATGCACTGACCAATTATGCTACCGCGGCCCTCACGGACCGCGTCGAAATTCTTCTAGCCATTCTTAAGCTGCAAGCTTAGCTCTTTCTTTCATCAATTATAAATTTTATAAAGATAATATCCGCATATTGTTGCGAAAGTGAGTTATCAATCCAGTACGAAGCTTCATGTCATTTAGAATTAGACGGGGTGGGTGCTACTAAATGTTCTCACCTTTGTTTGTATTTTACTAAATAACGAGTCAATTCAAACGTGAACATGTCAGCACCAAAATCAAAATCATAGTGTAATATAATGATTTTAATATAATATGATTGTAAATTTACATACTTAACAATGTCATAGTAGCGACTGGTATTTACAAAAAACACTTTTTAATCTATGTATCACAGAAAATAATAATTACGTTTCTAGCATAATAATTGTAATTTTACAATAGGATGATACTTAGAATAACAAGTATGTACACACATCTGGTATTTGATGTAGAAAACGATTTAATTAAAATTTAAAAATGTGTCAATTCATAAAAAAAAGAGAAAATATTTTTTTATTAGTTACAATTTAAAATTGATATCTTCTGGAGCGCAAAATTTTTGCTTCATATAACAAGTATTATTTTTCGTTGATAATCTTGATTAAATAGACTATACTTTTGACTTTCGACACGAAAAGAAAATAGATTTTTTTGATAGAGAGTATAGATTTTCTTTATTTTTAAATTGACACCTTATGTAATTATTTATAAGTAGTCTAAAAAACTTAAGTAGTCTAAAATATAAGTATTAAAAAAACAATGAAATATAATAATATTTGTATAAAAAGAAACCCTATTTTAGGATTAATATAATAATTCTTAATTGACTTTCAAATATCATTGCTATAAGAAGAAATCACAATGAAATTATTTATACTTTTTTTTTATAATAGTAAAGACGGATGAAGTGATTTTAAGCGACATTACAATATTAATTTTATCTAATCTATTTTAAAATTACTTTCAAGCTGTTTGATAATTGCAATAATTACGTGTATCTATGTATATTCATATTAAGAAAGTGGCATTATTTATTAAAATTAATAAAATAAAAAAAATGCATTTTCTAAAAAAGAAATTTTACTGTAACCGACAATGTTGTAGGTAATATGATACCTAATCTATTAAATAGAAACAAATCTGTAATAGACGTTAAAAAAGTTATATAATTTTAATAAGATGGAAATACCTAAGGCAGCTCTAGTGAAATCGCAATAGAGATCAGGGGATGGAGTTCGACCCCTGCTATTAAATATATTTCTTCACTATATGAACTAATTGTCAAGAAATTATTTACTATGACGGATTTTGAAAATACCCATATCCTATAGAACTCTACTATATTTTACAAACGACAAAGGTAGGTATTTAGCCTAGCTCAAGGGGTGAGTAGGTTTAATGATTACAATAATCTGCACATCATCAATATAAATACAGTTACTAAATACTGATATGATCAATTTAAACATTAATGTAAAAATAATGCTACTTCCGAATATGATATTAGTAGTAAACATTTACAAGTGAATAACATTTTGTGAAATTGAAATCGGAATAGACGTGAAACATTTACCTGATACATAAATGAGACATTCTAATATTGCTCCGATTCCAAAGTATTTATGTAAATAAAGCACAACATGGGCGTTAAACAAAATGACGATACCACAAATATTTATGAATCGAAGGTAAAAAGAGAATTTAGTTTTCTACATTAACCGGGTGGTGACCGGGAAATCAAGAAAAATCTTTGTGTTCACATTAGATCAGTGTCTCAAGATGAGATTCAATGAACAGTGTATGGTGCCAATGATGAGCCACAGAAGCGAAACGTAGCAATATGAGACTCATAGTAATGGTTCTCATGTGAAGGCTCCAAGTCAAATAGTGGCCAATAGTCCATTGCTCATCGCAAACTCAAACATCGCTGCAAGGATTGCTCGAGTGTAGATGACAAACGCAGTGAAAAAACTCGATGACTACTGGTGTGGTGGACGATGCTAAATGAGTAGGCTCCCACTAGATGGACCAACAATCTGGTAAAGGTTGAGGGAGGCTGCTAGATGCAGACAAACCGGAATCGATTGATGTAGAATAGAAACCTTTAGGGAAAGTCTATGGTCGTACGGTGGGCTTCACACGGCTAAAGGATGGTGTTGAATCAAAGCCGCAATTAAAACAGCACGACGACGCCGACCAAAACTTTTCGCCTTATTAATAATTTACCAAAGAAAACCCGAACTGTTGACAGCTACCTTTCAGCAGCACACGGAAACACAAAATCAATATTACAAGGTTATATTCAATTTGTGTCAGTAATATAATGTGTCACGTCATTTGTGTCATTCCCACGGCCGATAACTGTTATTATATCAGACATGATGCCCATAGCATACGGTTAGGGGAGTCATAATTTATTGTGTTAAACAAATAATACGAAAAATAACAATCCCAAAATTATACAGTCGGTAAATATATGCATGGTGCTTGGGTAATCATACAAAACGGTTTGTTTGTTAACCGAGCAACTCCTCAATACTCTATTTAAGTAACGAATTAAAGTTTGTTATTTCAATTTCACAAAAAATACATCGCTTTAAAAAGTGATTCAGTTAAGGTTAGTCTAATCAGTCTTAGGTCGAAATATTAAACAAATTTTCCATTTATTTTTTTCAATTTTAGTTGAGCACGAATACGATAGTGTGTAAATATAAAATTTTATCAAACATCTATTTCTATGATGCAGATAAAATTAAATTCATCTATAATAAATTTTAATAATAATTTATTTCAAAGATTAAAAATAATTATTAAAAATTGACATATTATGCGTTGAATTAAGTGGAAGATCGGTGCTAATAGTGATATTAGTTTGATATTTATAATGTAATTTTTTTTTACATTGTAGACAGATATGTTTTTAGCAGAAAATGGCACGATAAATTAAAGCTTATTCAATAGTTCTAGAATTGATGTATCTCAATCGATGGGATATAATAATTTAAATTTTCAAAATGATATTTTATTAATAATTACAAAATAATAAAAACATCTTTACTATAGAGTAAATAGTATAAAGTATATATGTGTAAAATAAAAATAAGTACATAATTCTGATTTTAAATAAAGTTGATCTATTTGATTTTGATATTTTACTTTTTTTATTTAAAAAATAATAGTAACGAAGTCGAAGAATGAAGTTAGGTATAAAAATTCAGGAGCTTTTATTTTTATGTTAGACTCTACAGGATAGAACTTTCCATTTCAATATAATTATATATCTTTTTTATCTTTACACTTGGGCGTCATAACGGGTTCCAGTTATATTTTGAATTCCCCCATTATCAAACTAGGTACTTAATTTCCAATATAAAATATTTTTGAATTAAGTGCCATGTTTCAACTGAACCACAAAATCATTTATGTATTTATTACATTTCTGTTCTTTGAAATGTAAATAACTATACTTAATTACGTTCTTCAATAATCGTAAAAGTATAGCTCACTTATGCAAGAGTTCGTTCCATCAATGTCAGATAAACTTATTATCGAAATGGACAACGTAGGGAAGGTTTTACTTCCAATTTTCATAATGCTAAGCCAACTTAAGAAATTGTACTCGTAATAATAAAACATCATTATTTCTACGTCTGAATAAAATTCTATTCTGCTTTTGCCTTCTTTTCTACTTAAGCCTTGAAAATATTTCGATAACAAAAGTGAATTAAATTTATTTATTTATTTTTTTCAAAAAGAGTTGTTTATATTGACTTTAGTATTTTGGTATAAAATTGACAAATAACATTGACGCGAATTGAAAAGGGTTTGTTTTTATTTAAAATGACATTAAAGTTATTAAGTTTGAACTAGATTTTGGTTTTCATGAACCAACAAGAGGATAATGATAATTATTAACCTCCAATTCCGCAATTTCTCACTCTATTTCGAATCTTTAACGGACTGATTGTCACAATATTATTTATTCAATTGTACATAGCAAGAAACTGCATTCGTTTCGAATATAAATTCTAAAGATATCCTATTATTTACCCTTTTTTCATCTATAAAATAAAGTAATGTATCTGTTGCTAAAAAAAATCATATAATGTGTTTTTTCAGTAAGTTAAAATATAAGCGAAAACAAACAAAACTGGTTTTACAACTTCAGCCCTAAAATCCTTGTGCTCATTTCGCTTACTAAAAAAACTGTTATTTTTAATACAATTTAAACACTATTGATCTAATGCTGTAGAATTATTACATAAAAAAATTGATTTAGTTTTCGATTTTAATACAAAACAATGCTCTTAGTTATTTCACAGTTTAATAACAAGAAGAAAAAGCTAGTTGCTTCTTAAAAAAATGCTCACACATTGAAAATATTGAGAAGAATCAGTTTGATACTCTCGTAAACAGCAATAAGTCAACAGCGCTTTCGAAAAAACTTTTATATTATAATAGTAATACCATTAAAAAAACTTACACATTTAACGTTCAACCAGGCATCACGTCTTGACTTCTCAAGTTCAATGTTAGCACAAAAACACGTTACACTCACTAAAGTCACTTGCAAGTATCAAATTCATACGGCCGCTAAAACTCAATGTTCAAAATAGTCTTTACGTTGCTTTAACTAAGGGTTATACGTGCGTCGCCAGAGGTTGTTGATGTCCATTACCTGCGAAAGAAAAAATATTTTTTATAGTTTATTATAAGGAAGGAAATATCAAAGAGCCTCACCGAAGTGACTGGTGATCAAAAGGCTGGCAGCTATCTTGGTCAACGTATCAGCTTTGCCGTTCAATGTGGCTATGCTGCCAGCCTATTGGGCACCACTCCTGATGAGAGCGACATATTTTTGACGTGACAACGTCTTAAATTAGGTTGCGGCTGGGAGTCACTTATGAAAAAGTGTAACGCTCGGTAACGTTACGATGAGTTTAAGTTTACATGTACAATGTTTTAGTAAACAAAATATATTTCTATAGTTAAAATTTGTGCAATTCTTATTTTCATTCAATTCCTTGTTCCTATTGTGCAATTTAATTATATTCATATCAATAAATATTCTACCGAGAAAAAGACGTTGTCACGTAAAATCTTCGCCCGTAAAACCGACTTTACAGGCAACCATTTTTTTTTAATTTGATAATTATTGATTTAATTAGGTAAGTAGATAAAGTTTTATATTTTAAAAGTTTGTTTTTTAATGTTTTAGTATATATAAATAAAATGATTATGTTTATTATAAAATAGGTAGTTGTAGTTTCATTTTAAGAATTAACTGGTTGATTTTTAAATTTATAGATTATTTATTATAATTTTTATCTCAGGCATCGGATACGGCTGGTTTGGGAGCGGATTTTGAGTGGCAAGGCAACCTCAGTGGTTAATAACTACAAGCTTAAATAGTAACGTAATTTTGGAGAAATTACATTAAAAATATGTTAGCGTCTTAGAATGGGACAGAAATCTTTATTTCTGTACAATCCCAAGACACAAGCATATTTTTTTAGTTTTTAAGTATAACTCAATATCGTTACACTGTATCATTTGCTTTATTATTTTAAAAAAAAACACGTCAACCGTTGTAAATCTGTCAGATGTCACGCGCCGTGTAATTTTTTCTTGTTTAATAAAAAGCTTAAAATATTATTGTAAGTATTCCTTTTACAAATAATACAATATTGTAAGCTTTATTAGTAATTTAACTAAAGTGTGGAAATAAAAGCTTTATATAAATATATAAATTGTAATAAGTGGGTATAATAACGTTATTAGCATTGTTGAACGCGAACGAAAATTACGTGCATGATGACCGCGACACAAAACGTGTATGAACATATTAAGATACCCACAGTTGGAACGTATATTTTGTATTTTTTTAATTATATTTTTTAGGCAAAGGTTAAGAGCCCTTTCACAGTTTTTGCAAAAAATCGTATTTTTTGGGCGCCTCGTTTACCCCTTTCGAAAAAATTTTGTCTGTTTCCCATAGAAGTAGACAGTAGAGTTATTCTTCCTATTGTAAGTTAATCTAGAATATTTGCAAATACTATTACGCTTTTTTTTTGTACTGATCGCTCTACTGCAGCTAGTTTACGGAAAAAAACGATAATATGCACAACTTCAAACGCCTCAATCTCTCAATAATGTTCAATAAATTAAATCATGTTAGTTACTACAACATCAGAAATATGTTTTGGTTGTAACATAATGTATTATAATTTTGATTTTCCGTCTCATTAATTATCAAAAATAACATCTAACCTCCGTGAGTTTTTCCAAAAAATAACACAGGTTTACCTCGTATTTTGATATTGAATTAAATAGAATTACTATCAAAAACTTTCATAAAACTAATCTACCGTCATTGAACTACTGAAATATGTATATGTTTTTATAATAAGTTCATTAATAGATATTTTATAAGACTCAAAACATTACCCGTAAAATGCAATATATATTAGTGCAAATCTAGCTATGCGCCGATCAGTACGGCAGCGGTGCAATTTTGTAAAAGGGCTCTTGATTTTGCTCTAAAATTGTGTACATGATGCCTGCTACTACCAGTGAATTAAGTGTAATCTCGAAGGGCGAATCACAGAAGTATAATAATTACGTTATTAGCATCGTGTATACAGCCCGATTGATTCACGCCCAAATAAAATTGCATTATTAAATTTTCGCTACGTTATTTTGTGCGCGACATTACATTGTTATATTTATGTAAAATCTAATAATGTTTGCGTTACGTACGCAAATGAATTGGATTAAATTCAGGCGTTGAAACATGTTTTTGTATTGTATACCTACTCGTACCATTGTAACGCTTCGACAAGTCGAAAAGGTTTACAGATATTGACGAAATGGTTGAATTAAAAACGATGTAAGTATCATCATCATCATCATCATCAGCCTATTAATGTCCCCACTGCTGAGGCACAAGCCTTCCCTTAGGATGGAATAGGGAGATTGGCCATGACCCACCACGCGGGCCCAGTGCGGATTGGTGGGTGTTTACGACTGCAGATACAGCCGGGACCAACGACTTAACGTACCTTCCGAAGAACGGAGGAGCTCGAGATAGTAAATTTTTGGTCACCCATCCAATGACCGACCACTGCGAAAGTTGCTTAACTTCAACGATCGCAGCTGGACGCGCTAACCACTTGCGCCATCGAGCTCCTCGATATAAGCCTATAATCATACAGTGCAGTGTAAGTATACTTTTTATTTATTCGTAAGCGAATGATATTCGATTGTTAGTTTCAATTTCAAACACCCAATTAGAAACGGTAAGAGAGATTTTCCGATGAAATAAATATTGTTACTTAAATAGATTACTGATATTTAAAACTAGTAAGATGTAGGTCCGTCATATATAGGATATTTAATTAGGTTCGCGTGGAGCTCGATGGCGCAAGTGGTTAGCGCGTTCGGCTGCGATCGTCGAAGTTAAGCAACTTTCGCATTGGTCGGTCATTGGATGGGTGACCAAATATTTACTATCTTGAGCTCCTCCGTGCTTCGGAAGGCAGGTTAAGCCGTTGGTCCCGGCTGCATCCGCAGTCGTTAGCACCCACCTATCCGCACTGAACCCGCGTGGTGGGTCTAGGCCAATCTCCCTATTCCATCCTAAGGGAAGGCCTGTGCACCAGCAGTGGGGACATTACTAGGCTGATGATGATGATGATGATATATAAACTTTCATCTATACTAGCTATGCTTATATTATAAAGAAGAAAGAGTTGTATGCTTGCAAGAAATAAATGATATAAACTACTGAGCTGAATTTAAAAGTTCTTCACAAAAAATCGCCATTACAATGCCACAGTACACCCGACTGACGTAGGCTATTTTTAACACGTTAAATAAAAGTGCAAAGCTCAAGTTTGTAAGTACTATTTAAGGAGCTGGCGAACAAAACAGTATAATTACGCATATGGTTTTGTCCATATATTTCTTTATTTTAACAGCCTGGAGGTTTTGGGCCAGCTGAATTTGAATTTCAACTCATGTCAATCAAAACTGCCGAAAATAATATTAAAATCTTTAGTATAAAAATGAATCGCTGAATGTGTTCCTAAGCGCAAATCTCGAAACCAGCTGAGCCGATTTCCATAATTCTTTCTTTAGAATATTCCTTGAAGTACGAGGATGGTTCTTACGCAGAGAAAAATTAAAAAAATTGCACTAAAAAGTCCAAAAACAACAATTTTCTATACTCCCATACAAACGATTCGTAATAATACTTCAAAGTCAATTTGAACTTTAATACCGTACCATAAATTTCAAATGTTAGTGGACAGGTTCCGGGAAGGCAAAACAATTGAGTGACGTGATGTCAATGGAAGTTTGAAAAAGGCAAATATACCATTTTCAGTTTTTTTTATGATTATATGAAGAGGCATTTTAGTCTACACTACAGCTCTACGCCCAAGCGAAGCGAGGGCGGCCCACTAGATAATAAAATAAAAATCACGCCAAAAGCTCACTGTAGGTATGCCATTCAGTTTTTTCACTGCTCCTGTAAAATTTAATTTGATGTAATTATACCGTTTTGTTTGCCAGCTCCTCATTTGGCATTGCGAGTGTTGTCACTCAACACCGCAATAGATGTCATTGTTTAAAAAGTTATTTTCTATCAAGAATTCTCAGTAGCGCTCTTTAAAAATTTACTCGCATTTTATGACCAAATAGTACCTTTAAACCGTAAGTAGTTATTAATTCCTTAATTTATATTTTATTTACTAGATGGCGTTACACTGTTTGTGAATCGCGTTAGTGTTTCATAATAGCCGTTTATATTAGTCTTTAGGCGGTGTATTTAAATTTCGAACTTTCCAATAATAACCTGTCGTGTGCGAAATAGTTTGTTTCATTTGCAAAGCACACACTCTTGGCAACCTTGGAGTTTGTCCATGGTCCTTCGAGCCGGATTAGGTGCTGCTCAGCCCTAGAACGGAAGTCGTCCCGACGGTGGCGCAATTTTTGGAGCACAATCAAAAACAAACAGGAATTGGAGCAGCTCTAAAGTGTGAGCTGCTGCAGCAGGAGTTCAATCTTGGTGGCAAATCCGGCTTCAGAACTTCGAGAAAGTACCTTCAGGATCCTGGACTTTGGGAGGAACAAGGATAACGAGAAGTATATGAGGAGTGAAAGAGACAGCTACAAGCTACAGTGAGTGTTTGCATTTCATTCTAACCCAGTCAAGGAAATTTGTGCTTTATTTCAATAAGAAGATTAACTTAGAAAAATTTGGTGATTTCAAGCTAGTGTAGTTGGACTTAGAAACGTGATAATTTTTAACAAAAGACAGATCCAAAGGTAAAGTTAAAAGGTACAATTCCACAATGGGCTGCAGGTGACACTGCGGCTAGCGCCTGCGGCTGACATTATATACTCGTACATTGTGCAACCGCAGCATGTCGCCGCGCTCGGAATCAATTTCATAGAGATTTATAGAAACTAGTAGTGTCGCCTGTTGTCTGCAGTACCCCTAGCACGAACCAATATCGAATTCGTATCGTTTGCGAGTCCGAAATGTCATTGTCAAATGTGTACTGATTTTTAGTTCTCGTTATGTACTTTGTGCCGCTGCTGTTCAAGTTTCCATACAAAATTTTACATTGATATTTCGGTTTGCAAACTATTCGAATTCGATAATAGTTCGTGCTAGGGGCACAGCTACGGCCTGTCGTCTGCGGTTCAGTTCGGATTTGTACCTTAATGGACGTCGCGTCCACTTCCCCTACCAGTTATACCTTGATTTTAACACAAAATAGAAATATTGTCTATAGATCCGCTCACTTCTGTTTTATCGTCAGTGTTTATTTGTTTTTATAAACATTTTTGTTGATTTTTTTCAGGGAGATTTTCATGTTAGAATATTGACCGCAGAAAAGTTTGCAGTAACGCAGTGTTTGTCTCTTCTCACCAAAATATTGATTGGGTCAACAATATATTGCGTAATTTTATTTTTTATTTATAATCAGTAAAATGTTCATCCAATAATTCAAATCTTACAATCAGTCTAACTCGCTTCTTTTCAGAGGTGCTATTCTGTAATAACGCCCAACGTTGAATCCAACGATGAAAGTGCCTAGAGTTCAACGTTGCGGTACAAGTAGGTATTGTGCATATTTCACCCCGGCGTCCGTCGACCTTTTCGTTGATATCAAATATTTGAACTATCGAAATGCAAACAAAAAGAGCTGGATTGATTGACAGCGTTCAGTGTCATAGGAATTTTACGTTGCGTTATTGCATTGCATAGCGGTACTTTAAATTTAGCCTTTGAGGTAATGATATACTCCATTCATATATTTTTTAATGCTGGGTAAGTAGATAATATGAGGATAAGTTATAAACAAATATTAATGCTTCATGTGTTGAACTTATAGGTAGTGGGTAGTAAAATTAACTTAGCATGACAGTAACTACCTTGTCTTATTTTGTTGTTTTATTGCAGTCTGTCTATCATTGGTGACAATTCTGTCGTTAATTAGCAGTTGATTGTCGTCATTAATTAGTGTCTTGGGTTACTAGATAAAAACCTGTAAAGCATATAGGTACTTATCGTGTTTTTATTAATAAAAATATTTTTATTTATGCATACAACATTGATTAGGTATATTTTGTTTACATTTGTATACATTAAAAATATAATAAGTATAAGATTTTTCATACAAAGAAATTCACCATAGACCTCTTTTCAACGTATGTTAACGTAACGTAACTTTTAATGACGTAGAATCTCCTATAGTTTGTAAAGAAATATTCTTTTATCGGCGAAGCTATTATTTCAAAAATGTTTTGTTCACAATTCATTGAACTTTTAACTAACTAAAAATTTTGTTTTGATCTTAGGTTATATAAATTCATACTGATTTAGAACTTTTCTAAAGTATCAGCCGATAAAAATGTTTGTGATAGATAGGTATACAATTATGGGATTATGCTGATTTCCTGACAAGAACGAGCAATTTACTAAAAGGTTTAAGATTACAAGATAATATAGGTAAGTTTGTATCTTGAAGCTGACGGTACTATGACAGTACTATTAGCTTCAAGATACGAAGATAATTTAAGTTTCAATCACATCAATGCTTTAATTTATTTTATTACAAATTTTATCTGCTCCCGTAGACTACTTATTATATGTTTACGTACAATTAGATCTAAACTAAACAATTAAAAAGCAATTGTGTGGCAAGTAAGTACCATCAAAGAAATGACACTTACCTAATACGAAATAAAAATGCCTTACCTTTCTTAGTAACAGCAACACTAGCAATGGCCCTGCTAGACGGGGCTAAAATATAATGTGCGCTAGGCGACTGTGGCGTCGCCGATGACGTAGCGACTCCCGCCTACGGACAAAATTAGAACTAATTAGAAAACGTGTTTGAGAATAAGGGTTCTGTAGAATTGAATTTATTCAAATCAGAAATGAGAAATCAATATATCTTTATTCAAATTGGATCAGTACAACTCTTTTGAATCGTCCAAAAAAATTTTTTTCTGTACCACTCGTTATGGACATATTTTTTAGCTGCGGAGAAAAACGAGCGAAAAAAACTCTACAACATTAGAAGTCTAATCTAAAAACATTTACAAATCATTATGTTGTTACAACGTCAATACAATTATGATTTATTTAATATAGAAAACACGTTGGAATGATTGGAACAGTTCGAACCCAAGCATTTTTGTCTGTAATATAATCAGAGACTTTGTAATAAGCTTTTTTAATAAGTGCTTTTGAATACTATCTTTAAATTTATTTATGGTTAACTCTTGGATATTACTTTGGACTTTATTGTATAAGCGAATACAAAGACCTTTAAATGAATTATTAATTTTGTGAAGCCTAGTAGCAGGTAAAGTTAGTTTATTTTTGTTTCTTGTATTAAGTATGTGAACATCAGTGTTTTTAAAAACAAATTAATATTTTTTATTAATTTTGGTATTTAAAATATTAATATTTATTTATTACGTTCTATCTACAATATATCTGGTCAAGATCTCCATAATAATATAGAAACAAAAAAAAACTAAGTAATAAATTCTAAAAATGCTTTTAACCTCCTACCCACCCTAATAAATTTGATGCCGTTTTTGTTTTCCTGCAAAATAATCTTATTTTAAATCATCACATGTAGAGCGAGGGTAAAACAATATTTCATCAGGTTTTTTTTTGGGAATCCCTAAAATAATAGGTGACTCACTTAAGCAATAGCGTGTCGGTGGGGGCTTGGCACGCGAAACTTTCATAAATTAATATTGATTGGGTTGAGCAGAATCCCTGTGGAGTGATGTTTTTAAAACGACACTATGAAATTTTATATCAGACTAGCTTTTGACATTAAATAAATATTTTCATGTATTGGTTCACCTATACATCGACCCGCAATGGGTCCACGTGAGAGAAACCGTTCAAAAATGGATATTATAGCCGATAGGTGGGTGCTAACATGCTTTTCAAAGATCGAAATTGAAACGGTATATTTTTGGTCAACTACAAATGTACAATATCCAAAACCAAGTTTAAAAATAATCTGTTAAAATGCTCATTAAAATTAGACCTAAAAAGGAAAGTAAGCATGAACACAAAAATAGATCAGACGGTATTAAAAGGTCATATACTAATTAGGTAGAAAAGTTTAAGATATGGAAGGTTATAATAATTATAACTGTCTGCTTAGTTCACTATTTTGGGAACAGAATCACTTGAATTGGCGGCTTATTGTTTGTTTAAAATCAACATTGAAAGTTCATAACATATTCATGGATGAATAGGTATCAGACAAAATCCAGGATAGCCAACTCAGAAATCTTACAGCTAAATATGCGGGCATTGTTCAGTGTTTTTACACAATTCCAATTGGTTTACAGTAATATAAAATTGTAAATGTCATATTCTTCAATATAAAATTTTAAAAACGTCTCTGTAAAGGTAGCGATGACATGAAAATATATCGTTTTAGTCTGATTGACGTGCTGAGATGGGACTCAGAGGACCGACATATCAAACAGCGATCACATCTCATCTAGGAAAACAATTGACGAGCATTTCCAACCACAATTTTTTATTCTGTTTATTTTTCATGCCTGACATTTCCATAGCCTTTTGGTCAATACTCTTTCTACGGAGAAAGCTTGGACTTAACCGTTAAAGTCCAAGCAAGATAGGCCACAGTGATTGACATGTATGTGTGTGATCAAAAACTGTTGAAACTCTAACACAATCTATTCTATAATACACCGAAGGGTTTTCATCCTTCCATTTAGTTTTAGCCACTCATGCATCATTTATTATAACACTAGTTGTTTTATTGGTTGAGGACATAATTAATACATTTTTAAATAAAAAGGAAATAACTAGAAACAAATTTCAACTTGTCTTATATATCAGACAGGATTCGAGTCTGCATCGTTCTATTTACACACTTCGTGGATTACTTTGACAAAAAAGTTGTATTATAATAATTATAATCGTGAATAACTTGATAAGTAATCGAAAGCTAAGAAGAAAATTCTAAAATTCAGTAACAAAGTAGATATTCTAGAAAATTTAATGGACGTTCTAAGTTTAGCAAATCGTAGTAGAATTGATAATGATGATTTACAACACAACACTTACCGTCGGTTGAGCACTATCATTGGACATCGTGGAAGTCGTGATAGGACTCGTTGTGCACTGTGGCGAAGCAAGGCTAGTCGGTGATGTAATTGAATGAGATGATGTACCTGTCAATGATAATAATTTTAATTAAACTATAGAACTCCAGGAATAGAAAGATAGCAATTGTAATTTTTTTTTTTCTTTTGGCTTGAAAATTTGAAACTTCATATTTTATGAATCAGCGATTTGATCACGAAAGTCATCAAATAGCAAAAGTTAAATATATTTTGCTAAATTTAGTCTCAATAAAATAAGACCTAAAAGGGAAAGTAAACATGATCACAAAAATAGTACGGTAACAAATGTAATTTACTCTTTGATTGATTGATTGATTGATTAACACTTTATTATAAAACCAAATACAAAATTCCAACATTAACAAACAATAAACTTAACAAAAGCATTATAATTGGCGGTCTTATCGCTAAGAGCTCTTTATTAATTTAATAGGCAGAAAATTCTAAGATTTGGAAGTTATTTATAATAATAACTGTCTGCTCAGCTATTTTAGGAACAGCCTCATTTGTATCGCCAGCATTGTTAATCTAATCAACATTGAAAGTTCGTGACATATTTTTGGAAGAATTAAGAAATAATTAAATATAACTTACCTGAAGGTATTACTACTGAACTTCTTACAGATGAATATGGCGGAGGTGCAGGCGTAGATGCAGGCTTTGCTGTGTTCACAGTTGCAAAGCCCAAGCCTCCACCAGACCTTAGATGAGGATTGCCGTAAGTGGCGGCGTATCTTACATCTACGCCGTGCAGAATACCGTTAGGTACTCGATTTACTAAAATAAAATGGAATTTTAATTAAAAAGTTGCTGCAGTCTCACCTATGAGTACATTTTGAAATTCACTATGTTTACCTTAATTGATCCATGAAACAACTATCCTACATGAACTAAAAATGATAAAATTTTTGTCTCAAATTAATTCACAGGCTATGGAAATTTCAATAGCGCAGCTTATGAAAAAATAATAAATGATGTTAAGACAAATAAAACTTTTACATTACACCATAGTAGTATTATACGTCAAGACAATTATTTATTATTGTAATACAATAAACGGTGTAATAACACTATTATCAGCGATGCCAAATCTAAATATTCCGAAATTCAATAAGGCATTTAACAGTAATATTGAGATCACAAATTGGAACTAATTGTTATCGAATTCACTACGGAAACTGCCAAACCCAATGATCAAAATATCTTACTTACCTTCTGTCGATGGCAAGCCTAAATTATTCAGTGCATTGTTACTATCCTGGCGCTTAGCGGAACGTTGCAGGGAGTTATTTTGGGAACCATTTCCTGGATTATATTTGACAGTGGACGATGTGTCTACACTTCTCGGCAGACTCCCGTTGACAGACCTGCAAAGGAATTGCAACTTTATTTTCAGGCAGTTGATCTGAGCTTCCATTGTTATGATCAGAGCAGTCTGATAAAATAGTATAATATTTTTGATATTAATGGAAATGTAGTCTAAAATTAGATGTGTACTCATAAAAACGTGTGATGTAAAGTCGGCAACAATATTTTTTAATCAAATGCATTTTTTATAGAGCAAAACAAATCTAAAAATCAATTGGGAAAATTCAACAGCTTTTTGATTCCTTGATCTATTGTGAAACGGCTTTTGAAATACCACATTAGATATATTTTTCTTGGCTTTGCCAGTCAACTTTGATTTCTGGTTGCAACTAGGTATTAACATAAATTATTCTAGACTGTACAGATAAAGTTCAGAAGGACATTCTAAAATTTTATATACATTGCAAATCGAAGACAGAAAACTTCATATCGACAGTGGAAGGGAAAATCGCTTACAACACGCTACTTTGGTCGAAAATAAGTTGTATACATCATTTTAATCATTTTTTGTTTATGTTTCGTAAAGATTTAAATACGTGTTTCAACTTCGTTTACAACGCTGAATCGACTTAAATTTAGGTGTTTTTTGAACCACTAGCGCTTACGCCATACTATTTGGCGTATGATTTGATGTTTGCTTTACAGAAAATATATGAAGGGCCGAGTGATTTTCGCTTAAGCGACATCTAATTCGTAAAGTTAAGACACTATGTAAATTTTTAATAGGAGGATATTTAGAAAATACTAGTTTTTGATGTTTTTATTTTTAAGGCACTACTTCGCATTTACAATGAGTTATGTTTTTTTTTTGTAAAAAAACAGAACTTTTTATCCTTGTTTCTGTAAAGTTACTAAAGTGGCGTTTGAACGATTCTGCTTTTCCACTGTCGATATAGTTGTTTCTTTCAACCCAATGAATATATACTAGACTTACCTGTTAGGTGTCAACTTATCACTGCCCATGGTTGGTGATTGTACTCTTAAAGAACCGGGTGTATAATCATGCCCATAGTGGACATAAGTTTGATAACCATTTCCGAAACCGTTTACCTGCTGCTGGAAACAATTGTTTGTTATTAAAAATATTTATATGAATGTATTTATTTATTTTTATTATAAATTATCTTCTAATAACCCGGATGTAAAGCATTTGATCAAGTTAATAAGGTTATCAAATTAAATTTTTCGGGCTCAGAAGTTATTCAGTCATTATTCGCAGACATATTTGAAATTATTTATGAAATAATTATAATTTAGCAAATTCATATCATTCTTTTAGCTTACACAAAGCTGCCAGTTGCCCATTATACCTATTAAATAAATTATTGGTCTCAATGTTTCACCTTGTAGCAGTCCGCGTAAGCCGGATCGTTATAATCGTTGCTGTATCTGTAAGGTTGATACGTATTGTTTTGGTTCATCGTAGATAGTTGCACTGTCCCCGATAATGCCACTCCGCTGCCAAGCTTCGCATTAGAACAGAGAGTACTATCTGATCCGGTATTCGAGTAATCCTTAAACAAAATGGACGAGTCAAAAAAGTAGTAATAAGTATCCATCTCAAATGAAGATATTTTGACTTTTATTAAAATACTTTTTGATCGGGTATTGAGAACGATTTATTTACTTTCTTTCATTAAAGCGAATTAAAATGTGCCAGCATTTGCAAATCACGTTTCAAAGCTGACAAAAATAATATTTACGTTTACTGTAGTGTTCAATATTTTCTAAGCGATTTCAAAACAAGTTCAAAGTTAATTGTTCGTAGATAGCGGAAACATATTACAGAGACAGTGTCCGACCTTACTATAACGATAGTAAGATACGATAGATGAACAATGGTTCATGGTAACTATATCAAAAGTGTTTCCTATCAATTACGTATATTCACACCAACGTAAAATAAAAACGACAAGAACAAATTGACACAGATTAAATCAAACGAGCCGCTTTATCCTATTTGATAATCTTATTACTCGACGAGGTTTACTCCCATCCATTACAATAATCTTTTAAAAGGGAAAACGTGTCAACTCAAACCTCAATAACTTAAGCGAAAATATTCATTTGGACCTTGTAAAAATTAATGTTAACGAAAGTCATTAACGAGCTAACAAATTGCTACCGGTTTTAACATCGCCCATAAAACTTTATGCGTTGGCGAATTCAAAATTATTTTAAAAGGAGACCTCATAAGGCCCCTTTGTTTTTTTCGAGTTGAATAATAAATCTGGTGAACGTTCAAAAGCGTTAATTACTGCTTGCATTCCTTGGTATTATTCTATTTTTATTACATGTCCGACATTAAGCAATCATTAATTTATTAAGTAATTACAAATTGTCATTGTACGAATTTATGGCTATCACAATATTTATTCAATTGCGCCGCTATCTCAATTGGATTATATTCTATACTATATTCCCTGTCGCAAAAATAAAACGAGTAACTTTTTACCAAATAATATATTTTTAAGGTTTAATTTCTCATTTGCTCAGGTTTGTTATGTTTTATCTTGAAAATCAAAGCAATAAATAAAACAGAAAATAGTTTATTTCAACTAGTTCTAGTTAATTGTGAAGTTATAAAAGGGTCAAAACCTTGTCAAAAATTATTGCCACCAAAAGCACTACTGATTCCATTAATCAACAAACACGTATTTAACTTTAAGCGGCACTTCATGATTATGGGAAACAAAACGATATCAATTAATAATCCCAAAACACGTAAAAGAAACAATAATAAATCTAAGGAGAAAAACTATGAGAGCTATTAATTTTAGATGATAAAAATCTCACACAATATTTCTGAGCTAAACAAATTAGAGGAGATGAAATTGCTATTAGTAACTTCTACCGGTCAAATAGGAACAGTTTTAGAGTTGAGAGTAACTGTTGGCATCAGTGTTGATGAAATTAATTTTACTCCAAGCAACGTTGTAGGAGGAATTTAGAGCATTTAATATTGTTGAATGCTTACAGTTGTTGGGTAGTTTGTTAATTAAATATTATAACAGTTATCGATTCACTGTTGTTATTAACATTACTATTCAAATAATATGCACTTCTATATTAAGACAGGTTTAAAAAATAACCTTTTAATAATCCAACATGCAAAACCAAAATTTGTGTATTTAAAATAATATTACTAACTACCAAATAGTTTTTCGGTGTTATGGAAAACTATTCATGTTTTAACGAATTTTATTTTTCATTCGTTTTCGTATTGCACTCAATGGTTCGGATTTTACTGTTAACGAAGCTGATGTTGAAATATAGTAATAGGTGTGACGTTTCAGTATCCGACTACTACAAAACTTTATAAAAATCATCTCAAAATTTTAATGTAATATGGTCTTTCTCTGCTGAACAAAAAAACTTACAGATTCTCCAAAACTGCTCTATCTACAATGTCTAAATTGAATATAGCGCTAGTTAGATAATCGACTGGACACACAAAATAGTATCATTAACCGTATTGAAATCCGAATAATAGATAAAATTAAATAATACGAATTCTTATACGAAAAAAATAAATTTAAAGCAAGGTGTTATGACGTAATTTCAAGTTGGAAAAAAATCATACTTACAATTTCACAGCTGCCATTTGCTTGTCTCAATTCCAGTTTCAAATCGCTTATATTCGAGTTCCTGTCGTTCTCTTTGAATAGTTCCTCGGCAGTTACTGTTACATCTGGCTTCTCTGTCACTTGTGTTTGCTTATTCTTTCTCTGCTTCCTCTGGCATAGTATCACGAGCATTATCAGCGCGGCCACCAAAATAGTTCCGGATGTTACCCCAAAGAGAATTAAAAGCAAGGGGAACGTTTCTAAAAGTGGACAGAAACAATTTTAGTTTGTTTAAATATACCAGTGCATCTATGTTAAGATGCCTTGTAGGGTTGGGGATTATATCGTATTTAAATATACATGCGAATGCATCTATTCATTATTTTTAGGGATTAGGGGATTTGATGCAAAACTTTATTTACCTTATGAACTGTGATGATAAAATAAATACTAAGTAAGCTTACGACTCAAAAAGACTTTGTAAGATCAACAGATTGTAATGGATTTATGATCACTTAACTAAAGTGCTTAACATTTTATTAATTTTATGTTTACAAACGGTAATATTTTCATTGCTATGGGACAAAGAATAGCCTAAATCAACATAAAACTCACTAAAAACTATAGAAATGATTCCAAAAACTACATCGATAGGCCCATTGATAATATAATAAAAAACAAAAACCCTCGCTATACTAAAGAAGTCTAAGAGTAAATTAACTGATAATTACAAAGTTATTAAAGAAAAAGCTTTAATTTTAAGTACCAGTTAAGTAGCATGTGTTTTTACTAAGAGTAAAATAATACGCAAGCATCTTTAGTAGATTGACGCGTGGAATGTTTTACGATGAAAATGTTAAATTTCCCACACAAAAAGGCTTTATGATCCGGAGAGGCTGACAAATGGTTTACACTTAAGTACTGGGTATAAAGTTAAAATGTCGATACATTTACTATAATGCGCGCTCGTTGCCACCGTAATGGGGGTTCGACATAGTCTATGGGGTAATGGCGATACGGTTTGTGGTGTTGATGAAAAATTGTGGTATATGAATAAGTTTTTGTGCGTGGTCAATGTTATTATAATAACCATCGTTTGCTGTGAAGGTGTTTTTGTGATGCTCAGTTCTAAAAATGTTCTGTCAGTTCTGAATTAAAATTTATTTAAATGTATGATTATATTAATTTTAATATAATATTTATTTGAAAACGAAAATATGTATATTTTAAAATTAATTCATGAAATTTCATGAACGTCAAGATCCCGTTTCTAAATATACTGTGACTAGGATTTAATGTAGGATTTCGGTGGCAACGTAGGCCAGCGCACGTGGTCCTCTGAAGAAAAGGTGATGGAGGAATAAAGGAGAATAACTCCTCAGAACACTCGCCGTAGTATAGCCGGTATGTAATGCTATTATCCTAGCATAAGTTTGTTTAGTTAAAATGTTGGATCCAAATATACCGTAACATTGCCATTCATAGAAAAATCTGCACTCAAAAAAAACAAAATATTCAACTAAGAAAGTAGTCCCGCTATTTTGAAGAAAATTTTAAGCCAAGCGTCACTTTATTGCTCTTACAATTGGTTAAGACGCATCCTACTGTAAATATAATAACATTTATGTATTACAATTACAGTTTTAGAAGAATAATTACAAATCAAACATAGTCGCCTTAAATCGCATTAATTTTAGGTGTGTTTAGTTTAAGATTATGCTGTGTTTTTCATTAATCAAAATAGGGAAGTACCACTTCCTTAGTTGAATATCTAGTTTTTTTTTCGTGTGCAGAATTTTCCTATGGAAATATACAATGGCAGATAATCTGCAGTGAATCCTAATTACATTATATTTGAAAAACCTGGCGGGGTCTCGTCATCTTGACGTTCATGAACTTTCTCTTTTCTTTTTTTGTCGTTTCATGAATCTCATATTAAATTTGATGTTAATATCTAACATCTCAATCAAGTTTTAGATATTGCAAATCATTTGAAAACACTTTGCTCCTGTGGAGCATCAGAACCTTATTCAATAACCAAAATACCAAAAACAGTATGACCGTTTATTCTGTATGGCACACTTTTAGAGATTGGTGTTTCATTTAAATATCATCAGACGGATGGTACAAAACATGATATAATTAATGCTCTTTTTGATTTCGTACAATTTACCGATAAATGAATATTTGTACACATTAATATAATCAAACATTTATTTAACTTGAATTGTTTAAAAGAAATCAAAATGGAATTCCTTAAAATTTAAGATTTTTTTATTCTTTTATTATGATTTTTTACTCTGCGCGAGTCTTAAAGTTTCAATTGACGTAAGCTTACTTAGTTCAACTTAACAATGAAGTAGTATAATTACGCCGCAAATTAGCTTTAACAAATGTCCATGAATAATTTATGAAGTAAAAGGCCAAGACTCAGTTGATCTAGCAGAAGCTAAGCTAAGACGTCATATTATAACAGGGAAAAGGTCACCGGGAGCCAGATTAATCAATTTAGACTTACTCTAAATTACAGGACTTGGTTATTCTGACGTAAATTACTAACTAACTTGATTTCTATGAAATCAGCTGTTATATTTATTTTATATTGTCATTTGACGACCGCCGTGGCTGAGTGGTTTATACGCCGGGTTTCATGGTGTCGCCGACTCGAGAGGTCCCGGGTTCGAATCCCATTGGGGGCAGATGTTTGTGTGACGAATACGAGCATTTGTACTCCAGTCATGGATGTTTAATATCTATCCGTTACCCTAGTATCCTATAACACAAGCCTTACAGTGCTTACATTGGGGCTAGGCTAATTGGTGTGTGTTAAAAAAAAATTGGACCTCTTTAATTAAGCATAATGCCTTTTTCCTACTAAAATGCGCATCAAACAAGCAGGTGGCCTGTCTGATAGTAAACGGCCTCCATAGCCTATAGACGCTTGCGATACCAAATATTACCTACCTTGGCCAGCTTTCTACCCCAGGGAGCCCTGGAACCATATTGACCGACACACAACCTACCAAAAGGTAGTGTTATTTTAGTGTCGCCACACACGGGCCACCGACCACAACCACAAAACGCCGCCACCGGCATATTTCTTGTAGTTTTCATACATTTTATATGGACTCGCCACACACGGTACGCCAGTGGCCGAAACACGCTACAAATCGTCGTTGCTCGCTTCTTGTGGCCCGCACCGGCTACTTAATGCGCCGATACAAAACGCCGTCACACGTCACACGCGCGATTCCCCACCCCTCTCTTCCTTGCCTTAGTCGGCTGCTGTCGCGCGCTTCAGCCACTTTAGTAGCCGCTTCTAGCTTCTTGTGGCGGCGTTAGTGGCTGTGGCGTGTAGCCCGTGTCACTTACTGTTATCTTCTGTAAGGTGGAGACTACTAACCCAGACGGACGCTCCAATTCAATCGGGAATAGCACTATCATCCTACCTATCTTAAAGTTAGGTTAAAAAAGAATTAAAAACTTACTGTTCGGCTTCAGTGTGATTTCAAGTGTGTCACTACCGAAGTCATTGGAAACGTTGCATTTGTAAGTGCCGAAGTGTTTCGATTGACTCTCTCGTATAATCAAAGTTGAGTTGACGACTCCGCCTGGTTGTAGATCTTCGAGGAATGCGTAATCCTGGATGAAAATATAACATTTTATAATTATGTCCTTTCGCACTCTTTCCGGATTGCTAATGAAGGGAAAACATCGGATGCGACAACCGCTGGCGGAAACAGCTACTATTAAGTAACAATAAAATATTGCATTTGATTTGGTACTATCCTAGCATAATTGCCTTTGGATTACATGTTGGATCCAAATATATCGTAGACAGACTAAACAGCTCTGAAAGAGATTGCTACCGTATCAGCTCGAGCCGTCCAGTATTCTTTGTATGGAACTCCCTTCTGCAACGCATACGCCTCGCCACAGACCAAGCTCGTGTACAAAGAATAATGATGCTCCAGTTCCGTGACGACCCCTTCCCAAGTTGCTATGTCTGCTACGACCGATATTAAAACTATATTATTCTTTTTTTATATAGCCAGGCAGGCAAATGACTCAACCCCACCTGATGTTAAGTGGTGATAAAGTCCAAACGCGAAGATAGCTGGTACAGCAGTAATAAACTACCACACCAACCATTCTCACCTTGCCGGCCTGCAAAAATGCTTCTTCACGCCTCTCTTAAAATAACCCAGATGGTAGGAAGGAGGAAACACGTGCGCGGGCAAAGAATTCCACTTACGAATAGTACGACAAAGAAATGATCACCAAATTTCTTTGTTCGTGTAGGAATAGTGGCCACAATAAGTCGGTGGCAACGTTGGAGAGCCCGCGTGGTCTTCTGAAGAAAAGGTGATGGAGGGTTAAGGGAGAATAACTCCTTAAAAGACTATTAAGTTATGCTATTATCCTAGCATAAGTGTGTTTAGTTAAAATGTTGGATTCAAATATACCGTAACGTTGTCAGTTTTAGTTTAACTTGATGTTTATTTAACGCCTAATTAAGTCCTTTGTGGGGTTGGCAGAACATAAAGGGTGCACCAACATAAAGTGAATATAAATAATAAATATCTATGCTTGAATAAAATCTTCAGTGATTCCAGAATTTGCGTCAATTGTGTGTAAGTGGTTACTTGGTAAGCAAACACGTAGAATTCATTAATACATTGAATCGTTTATTCTATTGGAAGTAACATCTGGCGGATTATAAGTTTTTCTTTCTTTATGAGACTACTAGCGGCCCGCCCTCGCTTCGCTTCGGTGTAGAGCTGAAGTGTAGACTACAGTTTTTGTTCTCAGGCTTGTATTATACACAATGACATTCATCTATGATTCTTTTTATATATGTATGCAAAGTCAAAGCCCGATCGGTTTAAAATTGACAAAGTTTCATACAAACTTTCATTCCCTATTTTATCCCCTTGGGGGTAGAATTGATCAAAATCCTTTCTTAGCGGATGCCTACGTTATAACATCTACCTGCATGCCAAATTTCAGCTCGATCCGTCCAGTGGTTTGGGCTGTGCGTTGATAGATCACTATGTCAGTCAGTAACCTTCGAGTTTTATATAAATAGATACCATGTTTAGAGATTATTTTATATCCGAAATATCTTAAAGCGTGTTATTTTTTATTTGGTTACAATATATCAGAATAGCCTCTTTGACCTGTAACCGTATTCAACATCTGCCAATATCAACTTGTCGTTTGCAAAGAAAGAGACGAACGGTCATCTATCTCTTTCATTTTTATTGTATCGAATCGGCTGTGTCGCCACAAAAGCGTATTATCCCGAGCTTAAGATCCTTCGATTTCCATGCAAAACGGTTCTCCGCTCTCTTAAATTTATTTTTAAGTTCGTAATTTGTCAACAACACCATCAAACAGTTTTATTTAACATCAAAATTTAACTTTCGACATCAAATTACAACACTTTAGACACAAATAGTAACACGATGTGATTTATTTTAAAAAATAAGGTGAAGAGGCGCACTAAGATTTTATTTTTTATAATCATGCATTAGAAAACTCGTAGGAACAATCTTACTAAAACAACAATGTCCATATCAGTGTACTCTTTGACAGAATAATTTTTCAATTACGTTCAAACCTAAGTGTCGCCGCACACGTGCCACCGTCCACAACCACAAAACGCCGCCACCGGCATATTTCTTGTAGTTTTCATACATTTTATATGGACTCGCCACACACGGTACGCCGGTGGCCGCCACACGCTACAAATCGTCGTTGCTCGCTTCTTGTGGCCCGCACCGGCCACGTAATGCGCCAATACAAAACACACTCCTCTCTCCCTTACCTTAGTCGGCCGCTGTCGCGCACTTCAGCCACTTTAGTAGCCGCTTCTAGCTTCTCGTGGCGGCGTTTGTGGCTGTGGCGTGTGGCCCATGTGCGGCGACACTCAGGCACTTGTTCCAGCGCCGACGATGAACGATAAGTGAGCAGAGTTAGACACTAGAAACCCGTTGGCGAGCAGCAGGGAGCGAGTATGTACTTCCGTTAGTTATATCGCTTGACTATAAGCTAGTGTGCGATTACAACGAGCAATTATTCGCGCCAGTCACGCGAGGTGACGGTCCTGAGTCCAAATATACGCGCCCGCGTTTTGACGCCAAGTGAGTATCGCTGAGCGAGTATTATATTCTATAAAAGCTCTTGTTGCTCAACGACAAACTAGTGGAGCGAGTTCTCTTCGGCAGCGTCGCCTATTAATGTATATCTGTTGTACGTTTCTTAAGCGAGAAAATCGCCGGCGGTGGGACAACTGCCTTAAAAGTTTGAATAGGGTATTTGACAAGTTTTAGACAACGATCTCACTTTATTGACTAATGTTTATGGAGTCCGTAAAAAGTGGATATTCATTATTCTGTTGCGTATTTCAGTAAAAATAACCAAATCAAAAATACCATTTTCAATTTGCCGCGAAAACGTTTCTCTGGACCATGTGGCGTCACACGACTGATATTAAAACGTGAAACGATACAATGTAATGTCACCTTTACCGGAAGTTTACATGCGTGTGACGTCATTTTAGGGCCCGCCAATCCCAAACGTTTTGGGTCACGTGACAATAGATAAGAAAACTATTATCATTTTCGTGGATTTCTAAGTAAAATTTAGATTTTTTTTTTGTAAAAATAGTAAAATCCCCTGCCAATATTCATTCTAAACACAGATGCTAACAATTGATTTTTAAAACTGTCAAATACCCTATTTTTGTTACTAATTTATTATTAGATTTGATATACACTTCAATTCTTCAAACTACCTTCAATATTTAACGTAGCTCAGGATAATAATCCCCTAGAATAAACCTGAGGAGAAGTCGTGTCACACTTAATTACCTTATTTAATTTTAACTGCCTAGAACTAATTCCACCTCACCTGTTGGTAATTATGATTAAAGGATCCAAAAGCTATGTAGGCACTACGCCTTATGACTAGGGGTTACTACTCTTTCTCTGAAACAAACTTTCTATAACGAAAGAAGAAGGAGATAGAAGAAAGCCTCTCTTGAGTTTGTTTCGCCGGTTCTTCTCAGAAAGGTCTCCCAATTTTGGAACCGGTGGTAGTTTACGGTAGTTAGGGTCAAATAAATAAACTCAAAATTACAAAAAAGAATTTTAAATAAAATACTGTATTAAGTAAATTAAATAATAAATTCATACATAGACAATAAAACTTCAAAATCGAACAATGAAATAACCAAACGCTCAATAAAAGTCTTTCGAAGGTAGCTCGACAAATTAAATAAAAGTTTTATTCTGACGACGAAGCCTGTAAAGGCTACGAAACGTCAATAAATAAATAAAGTTTCGTGCATTAACCCGTAAAAACTAGTTTTATTTTCGATAGCGAAGTTCAAACAAAATTTAATATCATTAATTTGAGGTTATAGTTAATTTGAACGATATAACTACGAACTATCAATTCACATTTTGTTTGAGTAGGCTTACAGAATGTAAACCTCACTCTGTTATCGGGCAAACGAATATTATTATAATGAGAAACGAATAAGAAATATAGTCAGAAATGTGCGAATTTTCAATCGAAATTTCGTTTTCTGTTGAATAAGAGTCGGCCTCTAGTTTCGTTAATATCAATCTCCAGAAAAATGTTAGAATAAATGGTTTCTTTACTTAGTAACTCTTGTTATAATAATGTTATTATAATAGAACTAGCTGACTCGGCGAACTTCGTACCGCCCAAAAGTAATATTTAGCAATAAATTAAAATTGCGACTATAATTTGAGATTTAAACTATCCTATCTCTCAAGTTGGATCGAACTGCACATGGTGTGCGAATTTTATTATAATCGGTTAAGTGGTTTAGGAGTCCATTGAGGACAAACATTGTGATACGAGATTTATATATATTAAGATTATCTGTGTAAAGCCTATTAAGTCTTAATGAAGTTTGATTATTATTGAAACTAGTCAAAGATATGATCGAGACATTGATCGAAGAGACAACAATCAAATATTCAATTTATCATCTTTATCATTCATCATTCATATATCGAAATCACGAAATGACACTATTTTAGACGATTCTGCGAGAATAGCAAGTGAATACCTATGAAAGGGAATGTTCGGAGCGAAGCAATTTACCCGCGGTATAGAGTAACAAAAGACAACTGAAGACAGATTTAGTAGGGTTGCCACTGATGAATAAATCAATAAAAGATTTCACTACAAATAGATAACAAAGAGTTCGTAATTACAAACGAATCATAAATGTAAATTATTCAGTTGTTTATTAAGTTGCGTATGTATATCGCTTTAATTTATTGCCATCAAGCAAATATGTTTTTGTATATCTGAAAAAAATTACCGTATCTAAAACCTTTAAGTTAAAAAATAACTCATTGTTAAACGCATTGTAAGTAATTGATCTAATATCATGCAATATAAGTTAACCTGTATATAAAACTTCATTCAGTACTTAGTAATTGGACAATCAGGCCTTTTATGCTCATAGCAGACAAATCAACTCGGAAAGGGTTCGTCACCGTATCAACTCGAGCCGTTAATTATTCTTCTTACACGAGCTTTTTCCGAAGCGAGGCGATTACGGTATCGCCTCGCCTCGGAAAAGTAAAACACAGTAATGGACTTCCAACTAATTTTACAGGAGAGCAAAGAAACTGAATTTGATGATTTCAAAGTTTTTTTGAAGTTATACTTCTTTAGGCGTGTTATGAATAATTCTTAGATAAGTCGTTAGTTATTTCAAACCTAATTAATCTTCTAATTCTCCAAGCACAAGAGATTTTACTGTGGAAAGCACTTGAACATAAATTATTCAAGAATATTCAGAGCCCTTACGAAGATTCGTAAATTTGGATCAGAAAACAGATCTATGTTATTGTCAACAATAATTATGATATAAATATATTTGTGTCTTACTCTAGCGAAGGCAGTAACTATAAACTAATATTTTGTCTTTCCCATTCATCTAAATGTGACAGCCCTACATGACAAAACTTAATGTCGAAAACTATTCCCAGTTTCAATTGGGAGTAATTCCTATGGTTTGCTGTTTCTTGGTATTGACGGCCAAATATAGGTATTTGTTGAGAACCTACAAAACCGAAAGGGAATGATCACCAAATATACGGATCTAAGTAATTTAGCAATACTAACTGTTTAAATTTTAGTCAAGAATTTCAGTTTCAAAATCGAAAAAGTAAAAGAACAGGCAACTACAAGTTGGAGTAGTTTACAAAGGGTTTCGCAAACCATTTTAAGATTTACTAGATTGAGCAAAAGCTAAATGACTAATTAGTAATAAACTACACAGAGATTTAACTGTGCTAAATAACGCATTAAACAATCAAGATGGGAATAATTTATCTGTGCTCATCAAATAATTATTTATTTGATAAACCTTTTCTCCAACTGCGTAAAATTCAAAGCAAGTTTTTGATTTATTTTCTACGTTATTTTCTTCTTAAGTGCTGAATTTCATTTCAAAACTTATTATTTTGTTTCGTCCTGTTATTTTTTCGTTACATATTTATTATAAGCACCGAAAGTTTTTCGCTAACTCCATTTAGGTAAATAAATGAAAAATATAACTGCCCCTAAAACTTTCACCAATTATGCCATGAGAATTTCCTTATTATATTATTCAGAAGTTATAAATAGATACTAAAAGTATTCATAGTATGTTAACGACAATTTTTGAAGTTATACTTCTTTAGCCGCGTTATGAAAAAATTATGAGAGTGAAATTTTAAGATGCGCGCGCATCACTGTAACACAAAAGTAACATAATGAAGTTAGCCGCGGGCGCGTTATGAAAAAATGATGAGAGTGAAATTTTAAGATGCGCGCGCAACACTGTAACAGAAAAGTAACACCATGAAGTCGGCCGCTAAACCGCACATTACTCGTAAGTCTCGAAAAAAAGCTTCCAACAAAATAGTAATAGGATCTCTTAGTCGCACATGTTGGGACGCTCGTCGCCTCTGATCACTGTTTTCATATTTATAATATTTATTATTTAATAAAACTGTAAGAATGTGCCAAATAAAGATAGGCGTAGGTAGAAAATACTTATATTGTGATTACTATTCAATATTTGTAGGAGAAATGGTATTACTGTATCCCACAAGGGTGGAAGTACATGTATACTATTATCAAGACACTAAGACGTCCCACGTGGTGGAAGCGTATAGCGTGCAAGACAATAGACCCTACCTACGAAGCGATGACTTGGTCAATTTCCCAAGAACACCTTATACAAGTGGTGTCAGTATAGTATAGCACGATTCACATGCGTACAGCGCCATCTAGTAGCGGTCGGCGTGTCATCACGCTCTATCAATTATTTGATCCTATGATGTGCCATACAATCGGTGTCGGTATAGGATAGCGCGATTCACATGCGTACAACGCCATCTAGTAACGGGCGGCGTGATGATATTTAATACTATGGTGTTACAAAAATAATGGTGGATTATTAACCACTTAGTGGTTAATAATGCACCATTATTAGACATCTGTTCGAAAGGTACTTTGAACGATCCACTGAGCTCCATAAGATGATCGCGTTGTCAAAAACAATGTTGGCACGCTCGTCGCCTCTGATCACTGTTCTCATATTTATAATATTTATCCACATGTTTCTAGTTTCTATATAGACACAACGTGTTTTAGTTACTTACAAGTGCTAATTACATATGGACTAATAACTTAAATTCAGTAGTGATTTTAATTGAATATTTTGAATATTTATTTAATTTTTCAAATTAAAACTGAACTTAATTGACTGTGTTAACTATCCTTTTCCAGTCCTTTTATTATTTTATTGTAATTATTAATTATTTGCATGCAATTAAAAAATATTTTTAATGATGCTAAAGAAGTTTAACTTCTCACGCGCGTACATAAGTTACACGCATACATTTTTTTTCTTTTAATATGTATCTATACCCTTGCCTACGCGGACAACTGCCTTTGGTATCTATGCAAAACACGTGAAATTTACATCATCATCATTACATGTTAAGTCATCATCAAAGGCTTACTTATTGTGGTTGTCATTGATAAGGAATAAAGTGATTCCTGAATTCAATTTCACGTAAGAAAAAAGTATATTATTTTCAACTTCTTGAATTTGCTTATTCCAATCAGGGCTTGTTTCATAATCGATATGTTTGAAATAATTTACTTCCAACATAAGTGTTCAGTAAACAAGTAAATAACGTTTCACCATTCTCTGCTCAATCCGCACGAAGAATTAAGCCTCTCAGTAGCTCACTCGTCGCGTAACTACTTACCGATTTACTTATGGATTGTGAAATAGGCGACTTATTTCATTATCCTCGATTATAGGAGCGCCGTCACAAAGGAATCAGTTTTATTTCGCTATAGTAGTCTCACCTGGTCATGTATCGAATCGATCTCTCTTCCGTCGAACGTCCATATAATGTTCTCAATTCTGGGCACGGAGAAGGCTGCACACTCTATGTTAACGGTGTCCCCCTGGGAGCCATATTGGGTCGCATTTGATAGAATTTTAGGAGGTCCTAAAACAAAAGAAGATATTACAATTTTCTAAGGACATTATGACTCCATCGCTGTTCAGAATGATTATATCAATTCATCATTCAATATCGTTAACTTAATCTTAGCTGTTGTAAGCATTTGTAAATGTTGAAAATCTACGCCATCGGTTAGCAAACCTACGGTGTAGACCTTGTACTGAGAAGAACTGGAATGAAATTCAGCAAGGGCTTTTTTTCTGCCTGTATTATATACAGAGTCGTCAATGTTAAGATTTATTATGATTAGGAAAATAACGGAAATTTTAGCATTAAACATGATGAATTTATTCATTTGCATTTGAGTAGTTAACATCTTCTAAACTTCTTTATTGGTTTAATATATAAACATAAAAGGTAGTAAAAGCAATTCATTGATTTTCATTAGATTTAGCAAGACCAAAGGCGCCTTTTTAACAAATTTTGTATAGAATAAGAGCTTGCATTTACTAGTTTCATTCCTTGAGCGAGCAGCATCGGTTATTATATAAGAAGTAGGTAAGTATATTCATTTCTTATATTTTCATACCAATCATTTAATATAACAGTTTAAAGTATGTATTTAAAAGGAATTGTATTGAGTAAGTGGTTGTATTTACCATCTAGTAGTACCAGTTTATCATCAAAATTCAAAATCACTTATTCAGTCTAGGCCTTTAAAAGCTCTTGTGAAAGTCAAACGGTATACCCGTATTAAGTAAGTATCTACAGAAAATTGTATTGAGTTAGTGAATGTATTTACTCATTTCATATAGCAGTTTATTTTTTGGATCATTAATCTAGTCTAGGCTATTACAAGCCCTTGTAAAGGTCAAATATTATGCCCATTTAAAGCATCTAAAGGAAATTGTATTGAGTTGTTTCTATTAACTTATTTCAATTAGCAGCATCAGTTTATCTCCGTAACTGGACACTAATCGCACTCAACACCGGGCGAGGTGAAATAATTCTCCCAGATCTTTTAATAGCCCTCCAAGATTGGCATCTACGCGTCGTTAGAAGCACTAGTGAACACGTAATAATTAGGATTGCGTGTTACAAATTAGACTTAATCTCAACTTTTTATCTGAAATCGCGATAATGGATGAATGCGTTCGAAATAATAGCGAATAGTTTTTATTATTAAATTTTATGACGACCCAAGGTTGTGGTAGTAGACGAGTTCGATGGCGAGTTAGTAAGTTTTTTGATCACCCATCCTATTATTGGTGGTTGCGAAAGTTGCTAAACTTCTAATTTATCAAATTGAACACTCTAAATAGCTACTGTCCCAAAATGTGTTGTTAAAGTAATCTACTATAAATATTTCGGTGTTATACATAAAATAAAATCCTTTAGAAAAATTTAGTACATTCATTCTCATCGTTCTGCGCATCGCTCTAAGCCGTTTTTTGAGTGTGAATGCTATTGGTCGCAGATGACCTTTATAGCAGCATCACTAAAACGGGACGGCGGGAACCCTAAGGGACCTTAAGCCGGGAATTGGCGAGTGCCTTCAAGCGGATAGAATCTCTTCTCGGGGGGAGTTTCGCTCTGTCTGGAGTCTCTAGACCACGTAGACGAACCTGTGGGGGTCGGCTCAAATAGAGGGCGTCTCTGACACCCAGACCTGGGCTCTAGTGAGCCGTTGTAGTGTGGCTCTATCTAGCTCATATTTTACTTAAGATAGTGATCTTTAAACTTACCTTTGATGAACACAGCTGCTTCTGCTTCTATTTGAGGGTAGCCTTCGACTTCTGCTTGGCAAAGATAACGACCGGAAGTATGAGTATCCACAGTCAAGGTGAGGTTTACAGTTTTCCCGACACGCTGAAAAGGAAACTTCTTTCAGTAAAACAATCAAAATCTAAGAAAGAGATGTGTTCTTTTTTAGGAAATGCTGTGTTATTTATATGAGGTGCTTTTTTTTTAATTGCTGACTTTCTGATTTAACCATTCATTTGTTTTCCAATTTTTTCTAACAAGTACACCAGGGGTTCGAACCCAACAACGGCAACATTTTTTTCTATGTTAAAAGGGTGACGAACGATTGCATGGCCCGCCTGATGGTAAGCTGCCACCATAGCCTATAGACGCTTGCGATACCAAAAATATCATTCTGGAGGCTACTAACTCTCTTAAGTTCCCTGTCATCGTCTCTCTCTCCATCAATAAGAACTGCTTTAATGTATTTGCTTTAAGTATTGCCGAATATTAATTTGTATTTTCTTTAATAGATGGCGTTACATTGTGCTGGATCACGGTAGGGTTTAATCGCAGCAGTTTATATAGGTCTTAATGCGTTCTGTTTGAATTAGGAACTTTCCAATAAAAACCTGTCGTGTGCGAAACTTTTGTTTTTCATTTTCAAAGCTCACCCTCTTGGCAAGCTTGGAGTTTGTCCATATTCTTTTCTCAAAACATAATCCGCTTCAAACTCTTCTTATATTTTATTATACCTACATAATATATAAAATTGAGATCCCAAATCGTACAGACTGAATAAAAGAACGAAAAAGAACATTGTTGATTGGTCGCCCTGAATATTTTATTTTCAATGCGACATTGTTCAAACTCGAACACAATCGACGGATTGTCGATACTTACACAGGCTGTAAGTAAATAAAATCCCACACAAGCGTTTCGTGAACTGGATACCTTTTTAAGGTTCCATAGAAGATGGATGACAAAGGAACCCTTTTGGGTTCCCTTCTCAAAGAGTGATCAGACCCGTAATAGTAAAGCCGAATTTACATTACGAAATTAGTGTCATACATAATGAATCTAATTTCATGAAACTTATTGCAGTACCTATCTACTATCCCAGAGACGAGCTCATATCGCTGGTATCTGTTGATAAATTATATAAGCTTATTTTTATAAGCTTTCTAAACTTGGTTTGACATTTTATTTTAATTGCACTAAGGAAACCGTTCTGTGGGATAACTTTTAGTCTAACTTACACGAAAGTTCTGATATCTACAAAACCATTCATGTGTGACTTCAATCTAATTCTATTTGACTTTAAAATTTTAAATATGCTATGGTGTCGATTCTGGCATGATTCTCTAAAGCTAAACTTAAATTTGACAACAGTGTATCCCTGTCATTCTCTATACAGAAAGAAAAGGACAGACTGATGTTAAATTTAATTTTAAGTTTAGATAATCTTGCCAGAATCGACACCTATATATGATTAAACTAAACCTTGACTTGAATTAGGAATGTCAGTGCAAGTGCCTATCTCTTTAAATTTTTTGGCGTCTGAAGTCTCGAATAAAAGAGAAATCGATTCAAATAACAAAGTAGATAGATAATTGTTACTTACAATAGTCTGATCTTCCTCGTGGTGAAGCCACCTTATCTCAGGGGCGGGGTAGCCGTCAACGTCGCAACTCAGAGTGATTGGGGTACCGATTTCTGCCTCCACATCCTTTGGCCGGTTTCTGAACGTCGGGGCGTCTATAGTGAAAATAGCATGTAGGATTTAAAAATAGAATTGTTCAAAGAATCATGGCCGTAAATGGAATAAAAAAAAGTATCTGCTCGTTTCTTTAATGATATTGAAGATTTGTATTTTTGTAAAGAATAAACTTGAAAACTACTCGACTTATTTAATAAATTCTTTCACCATTGGAATGCTATATTACCTAAACTGGAGTAATTCAGGTATTATTTAATAGCGTTAAAACAAAGCCGTGCAAATCTAGGGTGAACCGGTAGCAAATATACACATAACAATAAGAATGTTTTGTCGTGTAGACATAGTCTGAGTGGTTTGTACGCAGGGTTTCATAGTGTCTCCGACTCGAAAGGTAACGGGTTCAAATCGCGGTGGCAGCAGATGTTTGTGTGATGAATACGAGCATTTGTACTCCATTTTTAATATGTATTTCTATATGAATATCTTATATATGTACAGTATATGTATTGTATCCGTTACCCTAGTATGCCATAACACAAGCCTTACAGTGTGCTTCCTTTGGGGCTAGATTATAAAGCTAAATACATATTTTTGACTCAAAAAAATAAAGTACAATCAAAGTAGGTATATAAATACTTCACTCACATGTAATTTCTAAAATTTGTGTTTCCTCAGTTTTCCCCACTTCGTTGTAAACTTCACACTTGACTATGGCGTCGTGGTATTTCCTCGTTATGTTGTGAATTTTCTGTTGACAAAAAACATAAGCATCAGATATATATTAAAGCGCACTTACAATGAAACAGAAGATGTACTACATTAAAATATAGATGAAATTATTACAACAAACACAAAGTCTCACATATACATACAAATAAACATACACACTCACACACACATAAACACACACACACACACACAAATCAATAACGTTTTGTAATCATCTGGTGTCTCGAATCGGAATTACTTCCTTTCATAATACTGGTCTTACCTAGCATGAAAGTCAGGGTCCTACTTATAAGATTATAAGGTAGCACACCATTTCTAGTTTATTCTAAGATATGTTATTATTGTAAGGTTTGATGAAGAAATATTATTATTATTATTTTGTTTATGTTAAAAATGTGGCAAACAAGCATATGTCCCGCCTGATGGTAAACGGCCACAATAGCCTATAGACGCTTGCGATACAAAAAATATCATGTTGCCTACCCTGTCCCAATCCTCTACCCCGTGGAACCCTGGAACCTAACACATCGCCAGAAACTCAACACTACCAAAGGCAGTGTCATTTTACTGTGGTCTTCTGTAAGGTGGAAGTAAGGATGTATATTTGACAATGAAGGTGTTTGTTTAGGGAATATCATCATCATTAGCCAATGGACATCCAATGCTAGATATAAGACTCTTTTAGGATAGGATTTCACACACAACGGAGAATAGAGAATAGAAATTATATAGTCTTAGTGTAATTAAAATAAGTGATATTAAATGGTAAGATGCACAAATAGATCGGACAGACTCGGGTCTATCCTTGGCTGAAGAACATACCTAATTTAATTTTAAATGAAAACTGTATTTTGTATATAAGACTTTATTGCTAATGTCGTTAGTACAGAAATAGTCACACACAAGTACAAACGATAGAAAGTTAGCTTGAAGTTCAAAAAAATTTTTCTCAACATTGTTATCATCATCATCAGCAACCTATTAATGTCCCCACTGCTGGGCACAGGCCTTCCCTATGGATGGAATAGGGAGATTGGGCCATGACCCACCACGCCGTCCCAGTGCGGATTGGCGGGTGCTAACGACTGCAGATACAGCCGGGACCAACGGCTTAACGTGCCTTCCGAAGCACGGAGGAACTCGAGATAGTAGATTCTTAAATCACCCATTCAATGACCGACCCCTGCGAAAATTGCTTAACTTCAAAGATCGCAGCCAAACGTGCATCGAGCAGCTCGAAATTTTTTATGATGATTTATAAATTTATTACAACCATTATTTAAAGTGAAGTCTTTTTACACAGATATTATAACTAAATCATCAATTTTATATTTTACTATTTATACTGAAACTTCATTAATCACCGGCTTGTATTGTATTCAAATTTATGATATCGTGTACAAGGCCGAACGTTGCTTTAGGTTTACATTGAGTTATTATAATTGAAACCTTGCAGTTACTGTCAGGCGATTCTAGGCTTATTCCAATGTGTTACGATAGCTTTTGTAGATACAATATGGTCATCCATATATAATGCGCATAGTATGAAGGTAATCAAGAGTGTCAATTAGTATTGAACACAGACTGATGCTTTGATACCGTGCCTGTTTTGCCTTGTTATACTATTCTGTGGATTGTTCAGACTGTAATTATTGTGGTCTATGTCGACAATAATAGAAGCTAAGCTTAAATTTGTATCTGACACGAACTGTGCTTAAATCGATACAAGAATAGCTTCATTGTAATCATTAGAATAATAGATACAAACTATGATAATATTGTTTAGTCCAATTATTGCATTTATGATTACTATGCTATGTGATTGAATATTTTTTTGGCATCAAACAGTCGTATTTCACCTGTTAACAAAAGAAAAAAATTATATTGTTGTTTGTATTGATTGACGGTTTTAATAATTAACCTAAGTAACTTAAGTTTAATATTTTCTTATGAAATAGACCTAACCGTACCTTAACCCAATAGTAACAGACAGAAGTTCCGACATGCTCAGCTAATGTAAATCCAAACTAAACAATTACAGTAAACAATTATATGAAAAAAATTAAATATTAAATTATGTTATTAAATTTATAATAATTAAAGCAAACTTTGCTATATAATGACTTTATGTTGCGCCATTGATATCAAATTGGCGAGCAGACGAGTTATTGCTAAAGGAAAAATTAACATGAACTGAAAAGAATTTTTCAGCCTACTCAAAGTCAATTCTGAAGGTGAATTTAACATTTCATTTGAACGTATATGAATAGGCGATGTGTGAACTGTATTGTACGCTTTGAAGTGGCAATTAAGCTACAAATGGTAATTTATCAAATCGGCAGCACGCTTGATTTACAAGGTCAAAACTACATTCAGACGGTTTCAATCAATGTGTCACATCTGTTATGTTCATCAAGTAAAAGTGAAGAGGCATTTATTTTTATTGAATTGAGTGTTCTGAGGAATTGTTCGCATTAATTTCAGTTGTAGTTTTTCGCTATTGTAGAGTGCGTCAAAAATTTCATCCCTATCATCTTGATGAGTGGCCATCAACAACCGTGCAATTTTGGATTTTTTTTTTACCACGGACGACAAAACTGTGTAATATATTGTCGCCAGTAGTGTTTCCAAACAGAATACGACCAGAAAACCTTCGAAAATAGAGCGTACTAAGTAACGGCCGGCATCGCATTTGTAATACTCCTAGTGTAGCAGATGTCTAAGGACGGCGGTGATCACTTACCAACAGATGAACAATCTGATCTTATGCCCCTTATAATATAGAAAAAAATTGGAGCATCACTCACCAGTTCTGTTGTGTTCCCAACTACGGGTGCATCGTTCAAAAACCATTTGAAGGTCAGATTTGTAGGGTTTGCGTCTGCTTTGCAAACTGAAACAAAGTAATTGTTATCGAATGGATAAAATTGTTTAAGGCTAGATCAAATTTTAAAAAAGATAACGCATTTATAATGTTTAGCAATAAATAAATCGTTTAATAACAGATTTTGCATGAGCACATAAATTAAGTCCAATTTGAAAGTGTCGTAGCTGCTCATACTATAGTAAAACTAAATTTTTGTTTGCATCAATATGGAAACATGTAGGTCTTGAAAAAATTGGATCATGAAATAAAACTTGTAATTGCGTTTGTCTTGTAAAATCAACAGCATATTAGTTAGGTTCAACCCGAAAGTGAAAGTAATTTCAAATAAGTTTGTCGAGATTTAAAACCGAGAATATTTCTAGTGAACTGTTATGGTATGATAAATCCTAAGAGATAAAATTCGATACAGCTTCACCAACTGACGCAAAGCGAGCAACAACCAATATTATTTAGGGTGCCTAATAAAATCCAAGCAAGTTTTCAGAGAAATGATCAGTGTCAACAAGATTATTACCAATAACAACGTCCTGGTTCTCCGGTATCCTCCCCTTCACCGCAGATTTGATATATATTTTCACTTTCGGCGCGTATTTCACCTGTTGACAAAAGAAACAAATGATATTGTTGTTTGTATTGATTGACGGTTCGCTGGCGGGACATTGATTAATTGTTGCCCGATTCAAGACGAAATTGCCGTTTGTTTCCAAATTTCATTTTGCCCGTTCGTTGTTCTTTTTTCGTAGCATAGAATGCTAAGTAAGAATTTTGTTTCTTGGATCTTTTATTCTATTGGTTGTGGAGATTTTAGCGTTGTTTTTCATTTGTGGATTGCTCATGATTTATTGCTGACGTATTGTTACGTTTAACATAAATAGCAAATGATATGTTTACTTTATTTATATTACGAAAAATAAACGAAATATTTCCAGTTGCATTATACTGTCTCTATAACCATGTGAATTACCTATATTCTGCGTATTAAAGTGCCAAACCCAAAGGGTATAAAAGGTGACCCAGTCCTGTAATTGAAGTGTTAATGTAAATCATAAGCAATAAGTCTAACTAGCACTTGGACAGTTTTATTTTCTTCATTAATTTCTGCGTGAAATATGATTCCCATTTCAAATTTATTTGAATGTGAAATAAATGTATCTAAATATATACTAACATACACACTAAATCTACTATTAGTTTTGTATGAAAGTTACTAAAGTAGAAAATTTGGTAAGCATTTAGAGAAATCAGAATGTGTATAATAAAAGTGAATTTGCAAAATTTGTTTACGCTGTTTTATTAATGAACTCAATTAAGGATTGACCTTTGTTACGATAATGCGAGAAATTGATAGCCCAAATAATATATTGTACCAACTACAATAAAAATAAAAGAAACATTTGACGTTGCTCTTTATCAAGGAAAATATTTCTAAAACAAGCATATATTACATAACCAGAAACACTATCAAATTCATTGTAGGTATACACCAGAAGCCAACACCATAAATTTGTCAGCGTACCACTAAAAAGGGATTTATAGAAGTTTTAATAACAGACCACGAAACAACTGTGCCTATAAACGAGAAACATTGCTTGAATAGTGCAGTACTATAAAACGATGCAGTAAATACAATTGTGACGAGAAAAATGAAGACGGAAAACATCAATCCAAATCATGTTACGATGCGAATGTGCCATTGAATATTACGAACGACGAATTGGGTAAATTTGACTGAGGATTGGCATTAAAAACTTTAATAAGGCAATAACAAATTTAGTTCCCAGCTAAACAAAGCTTGTATAAATAAGTTCTTCAATTCGCACTGAGGTCTGGTGGCCTGTTCTTCCAATTTCATTCATAAGGAAGGCCTGTGCTTCAGCTTTGGTAACTGAAAAATAAGAATGTGTACGCATTGCATACATTTTACTACAAACTGGCCTCAATATTAAACAGCCTAAGATGATAAAATATTTAACAAAATAACATATTGCTACCAAATATGTTAGTAGCTGAGACACACTTCTAGAAAACAACGAAAGTGCGTAACTAATCAAACGAGAGATACATTCGAAAGTGGTACTCAGGCAACGGAAATGAAACACTTATATCCAACAACAACAAAAATATGCGAAAATTAAATCTGCTTTTGAAAATCGATGCACCGAAGTGCAAAAAGTACATTTTGCTACCAGTAAAAATACACTTAAATAAAAACGTAATGGATAAAATGAAATACAATTATTAAGAATAATAATTAATTGGTTGATTCGCATTAAATGAAAAAATAAACAGAAAATCCTTTTTCCATCGCGCTCGCATATTCGAGTTCTAAAAATTATTTTGCATGCTGCCGAACTGCTCTAATTAATTATCAGTTTAATATCGCCAGCTTAAACTAAAATATTACTATATTCCGAGTGAAATATGCCTTGGTCAGTCGGTTTTTACGATTCAGGTTACGCCAGCTATATGTAGGATTTCCATTAGGATTTAAGACCATGAACCGTGTCGTGCGAATCCGGGGTGTTTGATAGTATATGATATCTTGATACCTATGTAAAAAAAATAAGAAATGTAGTTTTTCTTTTCGATTTAAAGATGACCCTAACCATTTCCTCACCACCCCTGAACCACTGAAATTTGAAAAAAAAAATTTGATTTCAAATTTGAATTCATTTCGAAAAAAGTTTAAGGTAACCCTGGACCTCCCCCCCCCCCCCCTTCAGATTAAGTGACTACAAATTATAACATGACCACATGACCAAATTTCTAGACTTCGATCAGAAAAGAAAACAAAAAAAAATTGCGGACAACCCCGTGCAGACACACACGAACCATTTTATAGACTCCAACGGTGTATAATAGGATACTATGACACACAATAATATACCAACTTACTTATAAAACTTATACAGAGCAGAATTTATATATAACAGACCCAGCAGTGAGGACATTAATAAACTGGTGATGAAGACGAAAAATAACAAATTGAAATAAAAATAAAACAGAAAAAACTAATGAACTAAATGCAAACAAATAAATAGAAATCTAGATATCAGAAAGTAGCAGAAAAGAAAATACGCATAATCAAAAACAAACACTAAATTTCTTTAATAAAAAAAGCTTTTGTAATAGCGTACCCCAAAAATAAACCATTAAATATTCAGGAACTGCAGAAAAAATGGCGTACGGCTAACTTCCTGAATAATAAATGAGGAGCAGTTTTTTAAAGTGCATTTTAATAGCCCGCAATAGCCGGTAATCTATTGGTGTTTCAGAACTTTTTTTAGCTAAGAACGAAATATATTTAGTACAGTATTGTTTTGTTTAAGCAATAACCAAAAACGGTAAGTAAAAAAGTTAAGGTATATTTGTATTGAAATTTGTTAAAAAAAACATTTGTTATGATATGAAACTAATGTTAGATTCTGTAAAACATACAGTTTTTAATTTAAAACTAATTATAATCCTCATTTAAGTCCTAAGTTAAAGGTCATTTTCTCAAACGAAAATCTCAAATTTTATTAATCTTCCTCACGAAGTATCTTGTTTCGTATATTAGTATTTATTTATCACTCTTATATGTATATTGTGCATATCTGGATAGGTTTGTATTTATCTATGTATATTTATGCAAGTTTATTTATGTAGTTATATGTATTTTAAAATATATGTATACATATATATAGCTATAGTAGTAATAAATTACCTTTAGTTTAATTTTTATTGCACTTTCTGTTTCCCGCTAAGTTTGGAATCTCCAACACCACCTAGGTTGGGCCATACGACTAGGATAAGCCCACCTTTGCCATGTATTTGACTCTCTGTTTTGAACTATATGATGCAACTAGTGGCCCGCCCTCGCTTCGCTTCGGTATTTTATCCCCTTGGGGGTAGAATTGAACAAAATCTTTTCTTAGAGGATGCCTATGTCATAACATCTACCTGCATGCCAAATTTCAGCCCGATCCGTCCAGTGGTTTGGGCTGTGCGTTGATAGATCACTATGTCAGTCAGTCACCTTTGAGTTTTATATTAGATAAATAGTATAATAATAAAGAGTATAATATGTTTCTTAAGTTTCTACGCACACATTTAATGAAACACGCTTAAACGGGCTTAAAATTCGCTTTGTTTATTACTTTTTTACAATGCATTACTTTTCGCATTGTTCATCAGGATGCGTCGTCAGTATGATTTTTATTTACTTTTGACGAGTTACCTTCGAAAGACTTTGATTGAGCGTTCGAATATTTCATTCAAAGATTATTTATATTTACTTTCTATGTAAGAACTGGCGAAACGAACTCGGAGAGGCTTTTGACTCCTTCTTAGCATTACATGATTTAACATTACAAGGAGACAAAAAGACTCTGTGAGTTTGTTTCGCGAATTCTTCTCAGAAAGGTATCCCAATTAAGAACTGATGTTAATTTACGGTAGCTAGGATCACATAAACAAAACAAATTAAAAAAAAAGAATAAAATAAAGTACTACTTAGCTAATGAATTCACACACAATATAATAAAATTTCAATAATCTTTCAATAAAGTATCCGAACGTTCAATAAAAGTCTTTTGAAGGTAGCTCGTCAAAAGCAAATAAAAATGATAAATCTGAGACACATTCTGAAAAGGAAACGAAGCGTCAAGGGTTGTAGAAAAAAGTAATAAAAGAACGCATTTTAAACCCGTTTAAGCATATTTCATTTTATTATAAATCTTATTTAAAAAATGGGTTGCAAGACAGAAATTTGATCAAAATTATGTCTTTACACTGAAGATTACGATGCCTTTAATTCTTAGCACGATAGTTTAAGGGTAATTAGTACTCAAGTTAACCAATCCAATTAAGCATCTGAAACCCAACTAAGTGTAAAATCGTTGAGGTTTGACTTGTTAACAGGGTATCATGTTCTAAGCTGCTGTACTTTTACACTCTGCCAATATCGCAACATATTTTTAGTTATCATGTCTCCAAGCACAATAACAGAAATGCTATTTATCGTATTCGTCTTAGAATTTTGTATCTAATTAGTACGCCCCGTGCATTTCCACGGCACCAAACTTGCGCCACTAACACATAACTATTGTTTGGTCTGTTTGTTTATTCCGGTCTCGTTTAGTTTCTGCCAATCCTCCCTTTTTTTGCTCGCCTCGTTTGGAGCTAAGAAATTTTTCGGATAAAGAAAAATGTGGCTAGTTCGAGTCGTTACCGCTAGTTTGGGCTTTCTTTTAAGCCTTTAACTGGTTTTGTAGTAGTAATAAAGGTTTAACTAAAGCAAAAGATCCCGCTGGCATGAGAATTTGTAGAGTTTCAGAGTATTGCTCATTTGTATTGTGCAATCTTTTCATGCTCAGCAAATCGTATATTTTTGATTGATATATTATATTCTCCATCGCGCCTGAGGACGTCCTACACTGCGTTTGCCTAGACGCGATCTCCACTCCAGAACTCGTCTCCCCCAATGGTTATCGGTTCTTCGACAAATATGGCCAGCCCACTGCCACTACAAACTTGCTTATCCGGTGGGCTATGTCGAATTAGCTCTCCTATGAATCCTACAATAAAGCAGTTTGCAACTATTTTACTTTGAAAC